TGGGGGCCTGGAACTGGATCCAGTTGGGGTCTCTTGAGAGCAGAGAGGAGGGGCAGAATTGCTTGCCTTGACCTGGACCACTTCTAGTCAAGCTTCTTTTGATGCAGGCCAGGATACAACTGGCTTTCTGACCTGTCAAGTAAGTGCAAGTTGTCAAGCTTCTCATCCACCAACACCTCCAAGTACTTCTTGTCAGAGCTGTTCTCAATCTATCCTCCACCCAACCTGTACTTGTGCCTGGGATTGCCCCTGCCTAGGGGCAGGACATGGTATTTAGTCTTTGTTCAGCTTCATGAGGTTTGTATGGGCCCAGCTCTTAAACCTGTCCTCTGGATGTCATCCGCTCTCTGCAGTGTTTGAGAGGGGAGGGAAGTGGCTTGATTTCTGCTGCCCTGAAGCCACCTAAGAAGCCTGTGTCTACTCGTCTTACTTACCAGATTCAGTATTTATTATTTATTACCAGATTCAGTAGTTTCCTTCAAAGATGCCTCAGCAATTTTTATTCCTAGAAATCCTCTGTCAATAAAAATAAAGAATAATATAAACAAAAGTAGACGACCAGATAAGAATTCCTGTTCTGTGTACTTAATAGTTATGGAGCTCAGCATCTTTATGAAATGTCCATTAATTCTCAAAACTAGTTCCTGCTGCCACCTACTTTAACATCTTCAGGATTTTGATGGTTATTGACTAAGTGTGTCTCTTGCACGTGCATGTTTTGTGCTGATAAAATGTTTCATGTGCCCTTAGAAAGTGGATGTTTGCTTTGAGTCTAAATAGCAAATCGATTGCTCCTATAACTACCTGTAATCTGACAGCTTGGTAATAGTATTTCCTCAGTATGATTTACTTTGACTATGTACAGTTTTTCTCTGTATTGTCTGTTACTTGCCAACTTTTAAAAATGTAAATCTGAGCTACTGCTTTCCAGAATGCCTCCAGTTTTAGCCTTCGTGCATCTTGCACGATAGCACTTGGGCCATTTCAGTTTTTTTCAATAGAGCAGCTTGAAAATACATCTCTACTTCAGAATGTTAGGAACCTACTTTATGCAGGCGAATTTTCCAGTAAGTTTTACTGTAACTGTTTTACAACTTTTCATTATGAAGTTAGCTTAATTCTTAATTGAGCTAACTCAATTAAGCATCAGAGATGGCAGTTAGATCAAACTTGTGCATGCCCTATATTGGAAATGGGTGAAACACATTCGCCTCTAGAACTGTGCTTTCTATGACCTTTTTAATAACTGTATAAAGACCTGTCTACCTTACTGCTTTGTCTTCTAAGCCAGTAAATTATTATTTATTTGACTGTTATTGATTAGGTTTTAAATGCATGTGTGAAGCAGCAATTTTTTTGAGTACCTTATTTGCATTAAGGCTTGGGGTGCATAACCTCTGTTCTCCCTGGTTCTTCAGGTTAATTTTACTTGTGTACATTTTTATTGAACGTCTCTTTTTCCAGTGATTGCTGTATACTATATATTTATATAGGACAAAAGAACATGTTAAGTGGCTTCTGACAAACTGTTCTCACAAGTACATTTTTTTTGCTTCTTTTTTCCCCGCACTCTGTACTCCTTCCTGACTAACTACATCAGTCCAGTAATAGATAATCTTGTATTTTGGCTAAACTTTAAGTCCATACAGATCTTCAAAACTTCAGCACAATGCTAGAGCTTGAAGGTGTACTGATACAACTTCATTACTTCTTGCTTCTAGGAAATTCCCAAACTCTATAGCTCTGTTCTGCAGGCAGTTTTGTTGGGCATTTTTTTGGTAGTTGAATGCTCCCAAGGCAGCTGGATACTTCTGTTTGTTTCATGTTAAGTAGCTGTGGTATTTCTTTTGCTTCTCAGTTTTGATTAGGGTTATAAAAAGAAGTTCTTTAGTTTGGTAGGAAGACTTAGAGCAATCGAAGTTTCAAAATCACAGTATTTCTTGAAGACCTCAAGAGCAGGCAATTTCAAAGTATCAGAATTCAAGTAAGTGGGGCAAAAGGCTAGCTGGGCCAAGCAGGGATTTTTTTCTAGAATGTAGGTAAAAAAGGAAAGTGTATGGACATTGGAAGCAAGGAGAGGTGACAAGGCTGCAGAGAGTTTGCCACTGCAGGGAGATGATTTGTGGGGTCGAAGTTTAATGAGCATTCAAGCTGGCCAGCAGCTTGACAACAAAAAGGGCTTTTTAAAAGCTTAATAGCAAAAGGATCTTTAAGATAACATTGGCAAGTGAAAACCACTTCAGAGACAGTGCAGCCACTGGTTATAGCCAGTATGGGTCCATGAGAGGAAAGTCCTACTTATCCAACTTAAGCAGGGAGTTGGACTCCGTGATCCTTATGGGTCTGCTCCAACTTGAGATACTCTATGATCATGGTGCTTTCTCCACTAGATTCTTTATCTATAAGATTATTTATTATACATGTTGTGTATCTGTTGTGCATTCAGTTCTGATCTTTGAATAATAACCTGGAAAAACACATTAAAGCAATATTGAACTTATACCATTTGGAGGTAATTTTTGAGCACTGATAACTTTATTTCCTTGTGCACACATTATGAAGCTAAGCTAAGTAAGTACAAAAACACAGTTGTGAACGAAAACATGCATGGCTTTTTCTGTACTTAATGGAAGAAATACTTCTGTATTTCAGCAGCAGGCTGTATCCTATGAATACAATGGCTAGAATGCAACTTCTGCTGGGATTATATTCTTAGTACATGTATCAACCTAGCAGAAATTCTTGAGTGATACCAGCAAAAATTAACAATGGATGTTGAAGCAGATGCATGATTTTTTTTTCTTGCCTTTCTGCACCACTTATGATTCGCAAAACTCTTTCTACTTTGTATACTTTGTGCATGAATTGCATCAAGTGATACAAAATAAATCATAAGTGATACTACACACAGAGTAGTATTCATGAATAGTGTGGACATACTTACTGTAGCTCAAAAGCAGCTTCTTTAGATGTACCACAGAAAAGGGACTTACCATGCTGGCTTTTTGCTGCTTTGTCAAGTGTGCACCTGGGGAAAGACAGCCTTTGGAAATGTGGAAGCTGTTTTTCAGAGAAAACTTAGGAGTTTAAACTCCACGAAGTGAAGTGTGAAACCATAAGGCAAGCTCAAAGCTATGAGTTAAAACTTGGACTACAACTTGGGAAACTTTCTTTGCTGGAATCAGGAAGCTTGTGCTATCCTTTAAGATTTTAAGAATACTAACAGAAAATAATGATATAAGAAAAAGCTAAATAAATTGTTTCTTTGCAGGGTAAGTGTCTTAAACTTGATTTCTCAATAGAACAGACTTTTGAGAAGTGACAGCTTCGTGGAAATACGTAGTGAGCTGAGTGTTAAGAAAACTAAGATGGACTTAGTACTAGAGGAAGAAACAGGAGCAGCTGTCACGCTCACTATAGAAAAGGATTTAAAAAATATTCAAGAAATTAAGAAGTCGGGAAGTCTTTGCTGGGCAGTTAGGAGCAGGGGAGAAAAGTCTAATTAATGTTACTTTGTTGGTTGGTTGGAGTTTTTGTTTTTTCAGGATTTATTTTGTTCGGGTTTTTTTTAGCAGACCCCTGTTAAAACAGAGGCTTTAATCTCCAAGCAGACATGGAAGTTGTCATGACTGCTGTTTCATTCCTGTGTTAAGTAGTGGACTGTAGCACACAAGTCTAACAGCATGAGACTCAGGGCAGCTGTTTGCTTGCACTGCAGTGGTTGAAATGCAGTATTCTCCTTCATGTTATTACGTAGATACAGCTCTATAGTTTTTTAGGGGCTAAGGCCTGAAGGAAGACCATTATCCTGTCTATTTCTGAGAAATGAGGCTTCTCTGGTATCTCAATATTCTGATGTATAAGATGAAAAGATAATTTTGAAATGCTGAAATCAGGTGCTGTTGCTGAGATGTGCTGCAGTATCACACACAGAGGTGGAGTTCACTCAGGTATCATGTTTTCTCCTCGGTATATTGCATCCGTGTGTTTTAAAAGAAGGTAAGAAAAGATGCAGTAATGCAATTCAAGTCACAGCTTGCCAAGTTAATGATATTATTTGATTCCTCATGTGTATTAAGGTGCTTTTATGTTGAAAACTTGACAGTTCTCACTGTATTTTTGTTCTTGATTTCAGTTTTTTTAGGAACAAGTGGTCTCACAAGATGACGGAACAGGGAAGTCTTTCAAGTTGCAAACTCTACACAAGGAATTGTAGTTTAGCACCAAGCCTATTTAAGAATAAAATACATCATATAATGCTATACCAATCTGCTTTGGTCACATTCAGTTGATAACTTCAATGTAGACAACTTCAGTCTTTTTCGCTTGTTTGATAGCTGCAGGTTAATATTGTGTGTAATAAAGAGATGTGGAGAAAATCAGAGAAAATGGCACTAAGGAGGGGAAAAATTAAAACAAAAGAACTGAGCCACTGAAAGCTCCTTATAAACTGTATTCACATAGGTGAGTGAGTGAACTGCTAGCCAGGTACTATGGTACATGCTGGTGAAATAGTCAAGCAATGGATTATGGATCTTGAATAGAAAATTTAATATGGTACATTGCTTCTCTAGTTAGCCGGGTGATACAAGCCTTTGTTAAGTAGAAGGCTCTGGAAAACATTTTTAATAGATGGCATTGTGTTTCAGAATTTGAATAAATCACTGTTAAATGCTGCAGTTCTCTGAAACAGAAACTCTGTGTTCATATTCATGTCTGAACAAAATTAAAATCCTCTTTACTTTTGACTGACTCATAAAATTCCATCAGTATTTATCAGAAGTAGTGCAGTGTAAAACCAAATAAGCAGAACACTGCACCGCAGAGTACAGTTAACACCTTTTTCCTGAAGATTTTAAATATTACAGGCAGCATATCAGATTTTCAGTTTATCAGTAATACATCCTTTAAAACAACTAGATTGTTTCTTACAGGTTTAATGAAGAGAAGTTTATTAGAAAGGGGGACTGTTTCCCAATAATTGTCTTTTGTTTCCTTAGCCTCCTCCAGGAAATGTGAAAATGCCTGATGCACCCAGTACCCAGCCAGCAATAATGAAACCAACAGAAGAACCACCTGCCTACACGCAAATTGCTAAGGTTTGTCTGCAACTTGTAGGCACTTTTTTACGTTGTTTTTAGTTATAATTGTTTAAATACACTTCTGGAATGATGTCTTTTATAAATAAGCACCGCTTTCCTAATTAAAGTTAATACTACCTTTAAGTAATTGGTTACTGTGTCAATTTGTGCAATATTGGGTCAGTCTTCAGCCATAACTGGAGATGCTTAATTATAGCAAACGAACTTGGAATATTTATGCTGTGTTCTTACTTTTTAACAGTATCTAATGATGCTTGTTTTGTTCAGGAGCATGCCTTGGCCCAGGCAGAACTGCTAAAGCGTCAGGAAGAACTGGAAAGAAAAGCAGCTGAACTAGATCGCAGAGAAAGGGAAATGCAGAGTCTCAGTCAGCAAGGGGGTATGCATGAAAAATATACTTCAAGTTTCAGAAATTTCACTTTTTCTTAGAAACTATATTAATTTGACAGCGACATTGTGAAGCAGATCAAAGAGGGATTTTTATAATGTCTTCAGGAAAAAAAAGTTTATCTCCCTTGAGTCACTGCATGTAGTGAATAAAAACTAGTTTGTCCTTTGCAGATTTTCCCTGAAAAATTTCTAAATGTGGCCTCTGCTACATGTTATGATTTGCTATCAGCTATTTTTTTCTAGATTAGTATCTAAGTAATATTATTGAATAGAAATGGAACATTTTGAGATGAAGTGAAAGTAACTTCCTAAGTAACATCTCTTTAACCTCTCACCTGTCAGTATTTATAGATGTAAGAGAACTTTTCTGTTTTGAAACTTTTTTTTTTTTGCTGTATTACAAACGTAATACTCTATACAAATAGCAGAAAGATCTATTTTTAATCTTTTATTAATTTTTATGACACTTCGGAATCCATAGTCAAAATCAGTATCTCATTTTGCCACAAACTGTGTGCTGTGCAAAACCATCAGTTTTTGTGTAGCAATTTCACAAATGGGAAGATTTACATTCTCTTAACTGGAGATAATTTACTACAAGTAGATCTATGGGAATATTCCTTTTCATAAGGAAGAACTTCAGACTGGAGTTCAAAAAACCCCAAAACCCAACAAAATAAAACACTGTCTGCAAGGTTGACTTCATCTGGTCTTTTCAGTTTTATCTACAATTCTGGTTTATTTTCACATGTGCTGGTCTTTTTTTACAATTCTGATTTGCATAATTTCTTAGTAATTCGAATTGGGGAATTTTATAGAATATTTTCGGTTGGAAGGTACCTACAATGAATCGCAGAATCACAGAACTGTATAGAGTTGGAAAGGGACCTCTGAAGATCATTTAGTCCAACCTCCCTTCCAAGGCAGTGTCCCGTAGAGCAGAATACACGGGAATACATTCTGAAAGAGTTTTGAATGTTTCCAGTGAGGGAGGCTCCACAGCCTCTCTGAGCAGCCTGTTCCAGTGCTCTGCCACCCTCATCTTCCTTGTGTTGAGATGAAACTTCCCTGTGTTTTAGTTTATGGCCGTTGCTCCTTGTCCTGTCACTTGGCACCACTGAAAAGGGTCTGGCACCATCCTCTTGGCACCCACTCTTGAAATATTTATATGCACTGATGAGATGCCCCCTCAGTCTTCTCTTCTCTAGATGAACAGGCCCAGTCTCTCTCACAGTTTCTTTTTCTAAGAGAGATGCTCCAGATCCCTCATCATCTTTGTGGACCTGCACTGTACTGTCCTTGTAGCTGTACCCTCCAGTAGATCCTTTTCTTTCTTGTAGGAGGACCCCAGAACTGGATGCCGCACTCCAGATGTGGCCTCGTAGGGCTGAGTAGAGAGGGAAGATCATCTCTCCTCACCTACTGGCCCACTCTTCTTAATGCACGCCAGGATACCATTGGCCCTCCTGGCCACAAGGACTCATGTCCTGGCTCATGGTCAACTTGCCAGTCACCAGGACTTCCTGGTCCTTCTCAGCAGAGCTGCTCTGTAGTAGGTCAGGCCCCAACCTGTGCTGGTACTTGGGATTATTCCTCCCCAGGTGCAGGATCCTGCACTTGCCTTTGTTGAACCTCATCAGGTTTCTCTCTGCCCAACTCTCCAGCCTTCCAAGGTCCCTCTGAATGGCAGCACAGACTTCAGGTGTCTCAGCTACTCCCTCCAGTTTTGTATCATCAGCAAACTTGTTGAGGGTACCTTTGATCCCTTCATCCATGTCATCGATAACAAGTTGAATAAGACCCAGTCCTGATCCCTGGGGAAGACCACTGACTGCAGGCCTCCAGCTGGATTCTGCTCCTCTGATCACGACCCTCTGAGCTCTGCCAGCCGGTTCTTGATCCACCTCACTGTGCGTTCTTCTTACCCACACTTCCTGAGCTTACCTATTTGGATGTTATGGGAGACAATGCCTTGCTGAAGTTGAGGTAGACAGCATTGCACTGCTCTCCCCTCATCAACCTATCCTGCCATGCCATCACAGAGGGCTATCAGATTGGTCAAGCATAATTTCCCTTTGGTGAATCCATGCTGGCTACTCCTTAAGACCTTTTCTTCTTCATGCTCGGTGATGACCTTTAGAATGATTGTTGAATCGCCTTTCTGGGGATGGAGGTGAGGCTGACTGACCAGTAGTTTCCTGAGTCCTCCTTATTCCCGTCTTCATTGGTGTCGTGGTTTTGCCCCTCAGCCCATCCCTGGGGCTGATGATGGTTTTGTCCAGGTAATTTCCAGACAAAAAGGCCAATCAAAAGTCCAATAACGCCTTTGCTAATTACATCTTCAAGAAAACGGAAGAGAAGGTTATTGGCGCAGTTAGAATTGATAACAGCAGCCATGTAGAAGAGAGAAATAACGGGCCCAAGCAGGGCCAGACTCCCTCCTCCCCCGGCTTGGGCCGGGGGGGGGGAGCAGGTGTAGCATTAAAGTCCTCCCTTCTCTCTTGTAAGAGAGTGAAGAGAAAAAAAAGTTTAAAAGACGAACTGCTTGGACAGAAACCGCTGTGGAAGAATTCCAGCCAAAAGATAACAGAGCTTCCAAGGTCGAAGCTGGCAGCTGAAACTACAACAAGAAAAGTAAAGTGCGAAAGAAGAGAGGCTTGTTTTCCCCCCTGCCTTTCTGCTCTCTCTCCTTAGCAGGAAAAAGACTGAAAAGTAATCCCTGCTACTTGTAAAAACTTGTTGAAGTAAGGAGACTCCCTATGCAGCTGATAGAAGAGTCTGTGGATGTACCAAAGAGAACCGAGACTTCATGAAAAGAACTGAAGTGAGGCAGAGTCCTGGTGGAAATTTGTGACCCTGAGGGAAACCTGTGCTGGAATAGTGACGACTCAAGTGGAATACTGAAATCCGTGTGTATGTGTGGATCTATACTGCTGTTGAAGATTTTGTGACCCTGAGAAATCTCATGCTAGAGCGAAACGGCCCATGTAAGATACTGGAATCTGTGCGTGTGTGGATTCGTGCTAGACCCATGCCGAGAAATTTATCAAAGACTATTCTCCCATGGGGAGGGACCTCCATAGGGAAACAGGGGTGGACTCTTAAACCATTATCCCCTGTAACCCCGTGGAAGAAGATCCATAGTAAACAAGTGTCCCCTTGCAAGCCTATGGAAGGAAGACCCTTCGGAACCTGAGTAACCTCCAGCCTTCAGTCTCAACCCAGGAGGGGGGTAAGCCCAGCCCTGGAAGCCAACACAGAACGAGAGGGAGAGAGAAGAAGTTCCAACTGCAATGAAAGTGCTGCTGCTACTGAAGATCTGTTGCTAGAAAGAGAAAACTGGAACTCCAAAAATACAGAATGAGACTACTTCTTCTCCTTGGACTGGTATAAAAAGGGAAGAAGTATTTCTATATATATATATATTGCACTTTACCTTGAATAGAAATTGTTATAGATATAGTTCTTTAGTTTTTAATTTATTAGTAGTTTTTATTTTACTAGTAATAAATGTTTATACTGTTTTCCCCAAATCCTGTCTCTCTTGTGTCTGCAAAAACTTAATCTCAACTAGTGGTAATTATGTGGGAGGTGGAAAGCAAAATTAACCCAGAACAAAACCACGACAATTGGCTTTCCTCCAGTAATTGGGCACCTGTCGTGTTCTCCATGACTTTTCAAAGATGATGGAGAGTGGCTTAGCTACAGCATCTGCCAGCTGCCTCAGCACCTGTGCATGCATCCCATCTGGGCATATGGATTTATGGGTGTGAAGTCTTGCCTAGCCAATCTGTAACCCAGCCCTCTGTGACCAAGTGGAGATCTTGGGATCAAGATCTGAGGGGTAAAGGGTTCCTTTCCCTGGACTACTTCTCTTACTTCTGAGGTATGGGACTCCTGAGGGCTGACCTCAGCAGCAAAGACTAAGCAAAGAAGACATTCAGTAATTCTACCTTCTCTGTGTCTTATGTCATCAGGACACCCGTCTGATTCAGCAGTGACTCCACGTTTTCCCTGATTTTCCTTTTGCTGCTGATGTACTCTTAGAAGTACTTCTTGTTGTCCTTGATATTGTTTAGCAGACTCAATTCCAAGTGGGTCTTGGCCTTCTTTGTTGCACCCCTGCATACCCTAATGATGTTCCTATAGTGCTCTCTCACATGACCTGTTCCTTTTTCCACATCCTATAAATTTTTTTCTTGCATTTGAGATTTATGAGGAGCTCTCTGCTCATCTATGCAGGTCTCCTGTCCTCTTTGCCTGATTTCTTGTCATGAGAATACACTAGTCTTGAGCTTGGAGGAAATGATGCTTGAATATTGACCAGTCTCTTGGACTCCTCTTCTAGAGCCCTATCCTGTGGGATTCCTTTAAGTAGGAAAAGGTAGAAGTCAATTCTCTGGAAGTTTAGGCCTCTAGTCCTGCTTACTGCTTTGCTTCCACCATGCAGGACCCTGAGTTCCATCATCTAGTGCTCACTGTGGCCAAGGCTGCTCCCAACATTCATGTCTTCAACCAGTCCCTCCTGATTTGTTAGTAAGAGGTCCAGGAGCCTGGTTGGCTCTTCCAACAGTTGCATGAAGAAGTTATTATCAGTGACTTGCTGGAGCTTCCTGGACTGGGTGTGCTAAGCTGTGTTGTTCCTCCAACAAATAGCAGAGTGGTGGAAGTCCCCCTGGAGAACCAGGGCTTGTGACTGCAAGGCTGTTTTCAGCTGCCCACAGAAAGCCTCATTAACCTCCTCCTGATCAGGTGGCCTATATTAAACACCCCCAGCAGTGTCAACCATATTAGCCTGTTGCTTAATTATCACCTATAAACTCCCAATTTGTTCATCTATCCCTGGATAGAACTCAGTACATTCCAGTCACTCCCTGACATAAGGAGCAACTCCACTACCTCGCCTCTCTGACCTGTCCTTTCTCAAAAGTACACAGCCATCCTTGACAACATTCCAGTCATATGAGTTGTTCCACCTTGTCTCATCCATATATGCAGTGAGATCATGGCCCTACGGCTGTACATATATTTACAGGTCTTGTTTATTCCCCATGCTGCACGTGTTTGTGTACAAGCTCTTTGGAGAGGTAATCAGTAATTAAAGCACGATCAATCTATTGTTCATAAAAGCCAAAACCTTCTGGACAGCACCAGCCTTGAAGCCAAATGTTGATCTGCACTAGGTTGTGTTTCTGGCTGTCCCCGTTTCTCTAATTGGTGGGATAGATGAGAAGATGACTTGAGCACTGATGTTTTTCATCTGCCTTGCCAGGGCTTTATAGTCTCCATTGATCCTGCCCATTTTTTGGTGTCATTTGTACCCACATGAAAAAGTACGAGTCTGTGATCTTGACAGATTGGGGTACTCTCTCAGCACCATCATGGATTGTAACCCCTCGTGGGCAGCACAGCTCCTGCAACTCTATGTCAGGCTGGCAGATGGGTGCCTTGATGCCCCTTAACAGTTGCCCACTATAAAAACTTGGCATTTCTCTATATGGTAACCACCATGTGCAGGTTCTCCTTTGGCCTTTAAAGCATCATACCTGTTCTTGGTCTGATTGCTGGAGGATGGAGGTTGAACTGGAGCCCCGCTTTTGTGTATGACCAGGGTCCAACGTGTGTCATGCTCAGTGATATCCATTGTAGGTGTAAGGTTCTGAAACCATGTATCTATTTCTGTTTCAGCCCATCTAATACTGTGTATGCTATTGCAGTTTGTCTGCCTGCTGCAACAGGCCATCAACCTTTGCACACTTGTTCATGTACCAGCCTTTCTTCCAGGAGAAGTATCTGGGCATTCATTGCAAGCTACCACTTGTACTGATGCCTCCTTCCTTACCAGTTCTGTCTGGGTGGATGCATCAGAGTTCTCAGGGGCCGTCTCAGTAGACACACTCATTTTGTTTCTGAGACAAGTGCCCACCATCATGGCAGAGACTTACAGCACTTAGCACTTACCTGAGGTGTGAACTCACTGCAGATTGCAGCATCCTCCCCGCTTGCCCTACTTAGGCAAACTGCTGCACCACAGTCTGTTCACTATGTTCCGGTTCGCTCATGCTCCCATTTAAATCTCCTGCTGTTCTCCTGGCAATGCACCCCTCTATACCCGACTGGCTTGTGAGAGCTCAGTGCCTTCAGTCTTCTCTGCTCAGGTCCTGAGCAGCATTGCATTTGAACATGTGCTGCTTCCTATTTCAAGTAGTTCATTGGGGTGTGTATCTCGTGCATCCGGAGGTTGAAATGCTATGGTAGAGGTTTGCTGCAGCGATTGTCTCACTTGAATCCCTGAGTCTGTGCTTGGAAATCCACGTGTCTGATCCCCACACAACTGTATCAAAATACACTGATGCTGTAGGGCATATTCTTGTAAGAAAAAGGTAGTAACAGACCATTTCGGTACTTGTCGTTCTTGAGATTTTCTGCCTTTTAGGTAAGTTTTGACTGTCAACTATATTGGGAACTACCTCAAATTATTAAGAGATAGTCTAGTATTAAAAATACCACAATTCTGAAAATAAAGAATGCTTTTCAGTCCCCTGTCTTTCTATTCAACAAAGTATGTGAGTATGATGAGACTTTAGAAAAATATTAATATAAAAGTCAAGGAACTCTGCAAAATTGTTTTTCTGCCCATATCTGGGTTTTTTTGTGAAGAATTCTCTTTGCTTATTACTTTATAAGAACTGTCAGATGCCTGCTCAGTCTTCTATGTAGATAAATATTGTACTTTCCTTAACCTGCCTGTACATAATTGTATTTTATTTTTATAGTTTAATTTCAGTATTATGTGAGGATTGCTCTTAAAACTCATGGGTTTTGGTACCCCAGGTTATCCATCCACTTAAAAAACTCATACATAAAACAGTTTGAACAAGCTCAAATTTATGTCTCATTCTAGTATAACAATATTGTAAAGACCTTTGTTTTTTCTTTATTTTCTGTTTTGCAGGTAGAAAAAATAACTGGCCACCTCTTCCTGAGAATTTTCCAGTAGGTCCTTGTTTTTACCAGGATTTTTCGGTAGACATTCCTGTAGAATTCCAGAAGACAGTAAAGATTATGTATTATTTGTGGATGTGTAAGTATTTTCTTTTAAAGAAAAAACCGAAGTGCCTGTTCACACTTGGTGATACATACCCACTACTTTGGCTTTTTTATTGTCTGTAGTGAAAAATTACTTTAAATCTAGAAGCCAAATGTTGGAGCAAAATCTTACGGTTAGCTACAGTTTTTAAAAATATTCAATTATTTCATAAAAACTTCCACAGAAATAAAAAGGAGGATTATTCTAAGGCAATTTTATCTAGTTTATTGCAATTTCCTGGTTTGAATTTCTCTGTTGTTGTAAATTTAGCTTTGACCATTTATTAACTTAGAAATAATTTTACTGATTTTAAAATCAGGTTATATATTAAGAACTATAACTCACAATTAGTGTCAATAGACTTTTGAGTTTAAGAAGTGTAATATCCATTTGATCTAATATACATAGTTTCATATAGTGTAATACAGTTTTCCATCTACAGCAGAGACTTAGTATCATGTTAGGGTATTTTAAGAAATAGTGTCAGTTAGCTGAAGAATCAGTCCATGTTAAAACTCTCCTTTGTATACAAAGAATGCTCTGCACCATCTTCGTAGGATTAATTTTGCCCTCATTCTTATGCTGTGTTTTGATTGGAGAAGTGTTGGATTAAACAAATACACGGATGCACTCTAGTTTCTTCTGCCTTGTCCAGTGTGATGAAAGCCTAATAAATATTCTGAGATTGAGGAAATCGAAAAGACTTAAGTACTTTGATGCCCTTCGTGTATTTTTAACATTATAAGGAAATGGGAATTTCAGACATTTTCTGTATTTTTTCATAGCTTCAGATGTAGTTAGCAAATCTCCATAATTTTACATGTTACTCTGGTAATCTTATTGCTATGATTGAACCCCCTAATTGAAACACCTAAAATGAGCAGATAGCATTGAATTAAGTCTATTCCCTTTCATCATAATCCACAGCTTTCTGTATTCATCGTTGGGTCATTAATCTTCAAATAAGCAACTACAGAATGTATGACTACTCACTCTCTTAAAGCTGACAGATAATTAAGATTTATATGAAATTTAAGATGAAATATTCAGAATTTTAGGATGGTTACTAATTCTGGCCGTTTGGAGGACTGAGTTCTGAAAGTGTGTATGCTTCAAACAGGAAGTGAACTTGGGCAGGGAGAATTGGAATATTAATACTGGTTTTAATTTTCCTTCTTATAACAACAAATAAAGGAAGCAAAAATGTTGTACCATTTCAAAATATTTGGGAGCTGTGCTTCTATACTGGCATGACAGCTCATCTTCTCTGTAGCCTGAGATTTCAACCAAGTCTTCTTGCTCTTTTCATTCTTTGGCTCTAGTACTCTCTGACTTAGGGATTACTCAGGAAGTAAGGAAAAGGGCATAATAAAGGAAAAGAAAGACAAAAGGCTTTAAAAAAGCGATATAAAAGATTGAGTATAGAACCCCATGCCCTAGGACTGGCTGTTGAATCATTCCTTGAGACTTTTCTTTCCTAGGATCACATTTTCATGGCTGTCTCATTTTTCCTTAGACTGTTTTTCCTCATTGGAGGACTTACTGCCATCACAGACCAGCCTGCTTCTGTTTGCCACTCTACTCTACATTTTATTTCCTCTTCCATAACTTCCTATATCCTGTAGGTTCTAGGGGTCCTGTGAACATCATCACATTTGGAGAAATCTAGTACTGCATTCTCAGCACTTAATAAAATAGGATAGTTTTCCTCTTTAGCAGCCCTGGGAACAAACCTTCTGTTTTAGTTTTCTGTGTGCTTCCACAGTTAGAATTAATTTTTATATCATTAATCTTGGGCTTTATATCTCTGAGGAAACTTCTTTATCTATTAAAGATCTACATGCTTTATTTCATCCGAAAACAAGTGTCTTTGTATCCCTGTTTCATTAATTCCTCTTTTAAATTAATTTCTCCTTTTGTATCAGAAGTCAGAGTTTTTAAATTCCTTGATGTGGTTTTATATTTGCACTTCTTTTCCACCTGAGGAGAGACCTTTTTTTGACTGAGCCTTTACATGTTTTTTTGAACTATAACAATCTATTAGCAATGGCTTTTTCCAGTTGCTTTTAGAGCTTTTCTATTCTATCGTGGTTTTGTGACCATTGCTGTTTTAAGGGCTTGAACATAAGAATAACAGTTTCCCTGACTCATTAGGACTGAGCAGTGCTTTTTAGATCTTTTTATGTTATTATTTTGTCCAGTGTCAAGTACAATGTCTCTTGACCTGTACTAACACCAAAAATCTTTTGCCTCAGAAGCCTGTGTATTCCAGCTACTTTCCCCAAAGGCTAATAGCATGCACTAAATAAACACTACTGATATTCAAATCATATTTCTTATTTGAAGTTACAAACTGAAGAGGTTTTTTTAGAAAAATAATACCCTAAAGTGCCAAGTAAAGTATCTTTTTTTTTTTTTCTTTTCTGTATAGGAGTTTCATCTCATCTATCCTCTGTCTGAGGATATGAGATATATAGAGATAGATAGATAGATAGATAGATAGATAGATAGATAGATAGATAGATAGATAGATATCAATCTGTGTAGAATTTTGCTCCTCTATTCCTGGAAACCTCCAAGAATGGACATTCCATAAACTCCCTCCAAGCATTTTCTGGTGTGTTGCTGTCTTTTAGAGTTAGATGATGTTTCTCAGTATATAATGTAATTCTCCCCTTCTATGTTTGATCTTCAGTGTTCTATCCACTGTTGTTGTGGAAAACACATTTATCCCCATTAGTCATCCCCTTTTGCCTTAATTAGCATAGTTTGCTCAGACTTTTTTTATGGGTGATCTTTTCCAGAGATTTGACTGACTGGTTGGTGCCTTACAGATTCAGTTTGGTTCACTCCACGTTATTAATGCAGGTTTTTGGTGCATAGCATCAGGAAATTTAAAAAGAACTCCTTCACATTTTTGATAGCATGTACTGATCTAAGTCTGCTTTAGAATATATTTTTTCCCTGTGGAAGATATTTCTCTTGTTTGTAAAACATGTAAACACATCACTCCCAGAAGAGCAGAACAGACAATGTACAAAAGCCTAAACTATATTTGAAGCTACTCTTTGCTCCATGATTGCATGTGATCAAACTTACCCCGTCTTCACTTGTGAGTGGCCTTGTGGCTTCAAAACCCTCCATTCCATAGACATCCCATCCCCCTTGAGGCAGCCTATTACAGAGTGACAGTCCAACTGAATCCTGAAAGAGGCATATCCTTTTGTCTTAGTGTGGACTTCGATTTCCTGAGAATACCTTCAGTAAAACATTACTGAAATTAAACTTAATACAAAAATCTATTTTCATGCAGTCCCCAATGGGACAGCAAAATAATGATCTCAATAATGTACGTGCCAGATAGCATCAGTGCAACTTGTGGTCTTTATCTACAGTGCTTTTTCAGGCATTTATGGATGATAAAGTGTAGTTGATTAAGACAGGGAATATATCTAAGTAGAATTCTTCTGTTTAAGGGCATTTACACCACAAAAAAAAAAAAGAAGTTGAGTCTGAATATTTATTAAACTAATGCAGTTTCCCATTGTTGACTATTATCTCTTTTTTTTTTTTAACTTCATCTGCTTCCACAGACAAACTAGGAGAAGGCTTTCTTGGATCACCTAGAGTGCTGTACTGGTATAGCTGTGAAGTTATTGTTATATAGACTTTGCATGTCACAGACCTCTGCCAAAGCATGAGGTCATTTCAGCTCCCAAGTGGTCATTATCTTTAAAAACTTGTATCATGGTTTAATTTGTTGAGGCAAGTAAGTGGAAGGTACTTAAAACTGTTACCCTGAACATAAAAACACCTGTCTGTTCATACAGTAGCAAAGCTTACCTAGAAGTGAAGACGTTGGCTCGAAGGACAAGTGATTTTCTGTACCTTGTAGCAGGCACAGGGCAAGTGCAGTGACGCAAGAATTGTCAGCCAGGTCTCCTTGTCTTCCTTGGTAGCTTGTTAGTACTTGGTTTTTATAGCTGAGGTTCTATGTTGCAGTAGTAAAGTGGACCCCTGTGTTGCTGGTTTAAGTATCAGTAGTGGGTGTGATGTTTCACCCCTTTTCTGCACTAATGGTATTCTTTTAAAACTTGTCTTGTTACCATAACTGTAAACACACACACACACACACACACACACACAGAAAAAAAAAAAATTGGAAAGTTCAACCTCCACCGGAATTTGAATGTTTCTAGTAATCTAGGGTGTCCTCCCTCTTTTCCAGTATTGACTAGAAAAAGAGAGAATACCCCTTTCTTACATTTGTCAAAAGGAAGGCAAGAACTGGGATTTTTATCCTTTGTTGTGCTTTATGAGGCACACACACACAAATTCTGAAATGAGGTGCTTTCGTGACCTTTTAGGGCAATGCTAAGATATGTAAGTGCATTAATTGCCTTTATTTAAAAGCACAAGGTTTTCTGATTCTGGTAACTCTTACAGGAAAATGTGGTTTGTCTGAGGGAAATGGTTTGAGTTGTTTTAGTCTTTCATATGATATCTGTGCATGTTGATTATAAGATTTTTTTTTTCCCCACTAAATTGATTTAGAGCTTATTTAAGTACTGGTTAAGGCAGCAGCAAAGAGTAGTATTTTTTTCAGAATCCTTAGTATCTTGCCAGTTCCTTCTGCTGACCTTAGCTTGCAGTGGAATGACTGAAGTGTTTTTCTGAACTTAAATTAAAAAAAAAAAAAAATCACTTCTGTCAGGACCAGCTTTTGCACGCTCAGTGATAGATACCCTACTTTATTCTGGTCCACAAGGACAGACACTGTCCTCTGAGACAGCAAAATCACTCCTGAATCATGGGTTATTGCTGAACAAAAAGAAAAATTCATGTTCATCTTTTAACTTTGGCAGAACTAAGTTCTCTCTGCCAGATAGTATGAAGCTAGTAGTTGTAATGCTCCTTAATATTGCTGTATCTTATTCTAAGAAGTAAACTTATTTGAAATAAAATGTGAAGTCATAATCCAAATGCATTTTCTTTAGTAGGAATTGAATAGTTAACCTGTAACAAGGTCTGCCAATGAGAAAATGATAGTATTGAGCTAAGAATAGAGCGCCAAAAAGGCAGATATTTAAGGCCAGTGTTCTAAGAAATAATTGAATATGTAAAATGTATTAAAGCATTAGAACAACTTCTTGCAGATCTTGTTTTACTGAGGAACATTCTTAGAAAATTTTGTTTGTTTGTTTGTTTGTTTTATTATATGGAAGACAAAGAGGTTTTCATTGACAGATTTCTTTGGAAATTTTTCTTTTCAAATTAGACTGCTTATTTTGTGATGCAGTTTATGCAATTTATAAGCTTTGTCTCAAAAAACCATTAGTCTATTAAATATTTTTACCCAGTTGTTGTTGTAGAAAAATACCAATTATTGCACCTGTAGAAACCTCCTTTTCCATCATTTCATGTTTGAAAATGTCAGAATTTTTGCTATATAGCTGGTAGTACTTGAATTTTCATGCTTAGTACTTTCACTTGTGAAGAGAGGTTTTACCTGAAAGTAAACTGGTAAAAATCAGTTTATTCCTGAGGGCATTGAGAGGGTTTTGATTATTTTCTGCATGCTGATGTTTTGTTTAAAATGCTCAGTTTGGATATTACTTTACAGTTGTAATAATTTATTGTACAAACATAAGCTAATTAAGACTATTTTGCTTTTGCTTCTACAGTCCATACAGTGACACTGTTTCTTAATATCTTTGGATGTTTGGCCTGGTTTTACGTTGATGCTACACGAGGGGTTGATTTTGGATTGAGTATTCTCTGGTTCTTGCTTTTTACCCCTTGTTCTTTTGTGTGCTGGTACAGACCACTTTATGGAGCTTTCAGGTAACAACTTCATCTTGACTTAGGATATTTAAAAGCATACCAAAATGCATTAACATTTCAGAATTTGCTTCATTATCATTATGATAATCCTTCAATATGCTTTCATTAGAAACAGTATCTTTGCCATTAATTCATTTGTTGTTGAATTTGAAATATACATGGCAATAGTATGGAATGGAATAACCTACCATTGACAAAATACTTGCAGGAAATATGTAACTTTGTTGAAGTTAGTAAGGGCTGATAACAGTTGTAAAGAAAATTCTCATTAAATCTCTTGTTCCTTTACACCAAGAATTTGAGTAGGTTAATTGTCAAGAGTGTCTTAAATTTTTGGTTTCCTGAATGAACTTCATGAGCAGCTACACCTGAAATTTTAAGTGATAGACACCTACAGTATCTGTAGCCTGAGATTCTTAAGATTGAATAGAGCAGGTAGATAGTAAACAAACTAGTATTTTTCCTAGCTCTTAGCAATCTTTGCAGGCTTCACAAATGTAAGGTGTGTGACAGCTTTGCGTTTAAGAGGAGAATGGCGCGTTTCATGCAAAATTGAATTTTTTTTTGTGAAGATCAGGCTGTAGAGATTCCAAATGCTGTACTCTTACAGTATATCTTGGGAACTTTTTTTGTTTTTTAACATTGATTCAAATATCCTCAGTTAAAATGCTCGTATTCTTGTAGAGAAAGATTGGTGGTCAGATATTGCAATTAAGTGTAACACTTAGACTAAATGAGATGTTTATTTTTGCTAATCAAGGAGATATTGGTGTACCCACAAATCTTGGAGGAATCATATAGTTTAACTTGCATTTGCTCTGTAGTAAATCCCAAGCTTTTCTTAGTAAATATTGGTTGGCTGGAAAAGGAAAACTACTACTTGTATATTCAACTTTCAATCAGTTGCTTAATTGAAAATGAAATAATTATTGAACTGAACTCGTTGAATAGAAATTCGTAAACTCTCTTCCGCAGGAAGAGCTATTAAAGGCAAAATCTGATACTGTGAGTTAACCAAGTGGTTTCTGCATTCTTAAGAACTCAAGTAGCTATTATATCATATGGAAATTAGTTTTGACAGCAATAAATGGAGTCTTTGTTGAGATTTTACCTGTACACTTATATGTGTTTGTTTTCTTTTTTTTACTTTCAGTCTTTGTCAGGCTGGCATTTTAGTAATTTAAACAGCAAACCTATTTTGTATATTCTACTTTAAAGTAAAAGCTGCTTCAGTATTCATGGTGCGCACTATGTTTCAGTAATTCCGTGTGAGATTTTACAATTTTTACAAGATGTTACAGTAATTGCATGTGAGATTCTTTTACAAGTAAAATATTTTCTTCCCATATTGCCACTCCTGTGAACTTCAGCTTAAAAGTGGACCAGAATTCTGTTCTTCATGCAGACTTTTATGTTTAGTTGAAGAGGCTCCACTATGTGCTGAACAGAACTGTTCTCACCTTTCTTAGAGGTGCAGGTGGCAAAAATACTATATTATAGGAGAAAGAGCAACTCTTGTAAATAAACACTCTATAAAGCCACAGAATTGCTGATTTCAGGTCACTGTTGATAGATGAAAAGATTTTTCCTCTAGTTAATACAGAAAAAAGTTAGATTGGTACTATAGAATATGCAAAAAATTATAATTAATTTTCTGGCTGCTTTAATCTTTCCCCCCCCCTCTTTCAGGAGTGACAGTTCATTCAGGTTCTTTGTGTTCTTCTTTGTATATATCTGTCAGTTTGCTGTACACGTACTTCAAGCTGCAGGATTTCAAAGATGGGGAAACTGGTGAGTATTCAATTTGCTATTGTGCTATACTGTCTGTAAGACAAACATTTATATTTGACTGCAGTTTTATGGTTTTTTTTAAAGATTTATCTTGTGTTCACTGGAATTGTTAAATTTAACATTCAAAGGAAAGCATTTTTGGAGTGTTCTTAACTAGGAAAAGTGGGTGAAATTCATCCTAACAGTGTGAGGTACTTCTATTATTAGGCTGATCAAAATTTTACCCTTCATTGTAAACGACTTTGAAGTATTCTCTTATACATTACCTCCTCTATTTTGGTGGTGTGAGGAGTTGCTACTCATTCCCTGTTTAAGATAAAGGAAAATGAAAAAAAATTGTATATTTGCATATTATTTTGTATTAATTAGTTGTTGTAATTGTATTAATATACTACTTATTAAGGAAATTTGTGGCTAAAATTCGAAGAATGAGTCAACAATGTATTTGGGTAAACATAGTGGCCTGTCTTTGATATTTGAAAGGTGCGTTTGAGTCACCTCCATATTCTGTAAAAAGTTGATTTTTCTTTTAGATGTTTGTAAAAATGTAAGCTTTTACATGAATCTTGTATGTATATTATCTTTTATTTGAGCCTCAATATTTATACTTGCTGAGATCTAATATTTAGATTTTACAATGAAAAACTGTGGGGAATCAGTCATTCTCTTTGAAAAAAAGGGATTAACTGAAAGCATCGTTGTAGTAGCCCGCTGGTAACATGGAGAGCCCTGACTGGCAGTACTGTAGTTGAGAAGTGACACTTGTCTGTATCAGTACTTTTTGTTGTGAACCTCCAGACATATGTAAGGCAGACAGAACAGCATTGGTTTAGAACTGTTGTGTAAGGAAAGATCCCATTTTATTATTTTTGCTCTGGAATCATCTATTTTGCTTTTTCATCCAAGCCTGTGTGCTTTTAAGCGTGCTTGGGGAAGGGGTATGGAAAGTAGACATATCATCAGAAAATGTTCAATACAATTTGGATTTTGGATTTTTTTGGTAGATTCCAGTGGCACATAGAGGATATCAAAGCAATTTGAAACAGGTAAAGGAAAGTTTTAAGGTTGTGAGAATTCAGTTAGGTTTTTTGCCTTTTTTTTTTTTAAATGTGGAAGAATCTTTTCCATCTTAAGATAGGGTTTTTTGGTCTTAAGGCAACCTGCTTTTTTAATTTTCAAGTCTGATACTGTTGGTGTCTGTTAGTGTTTCAATTCTGAAGTACAGGGAAATGTTTGAAGTAGATACTGAGATAGCAATCTTGTCTGTTAGTTCAGCTGCTACTATCTACTTAAAAAATTATCATATTAACCTCAGTTGAGAAACCATCACTGTGTAGATACAGTTAAATGAGTCATCCCACATAGAAGCTGTGTACGTGTGGCATGTTTCTGTTTTATATTTATATAAGTTAGAAGCTATCTTTTTAGGGATATTTTCTCATCTGTGAATTCATGTAGTCTTAATCTAAAATGATAGTATGACAAAAAACCAGAAGAAGTTGATGAGCAACTCTAATTTCCTCACAGCTCTGCTCAAGGATAATAATCTTTGCTACAATTTTTCATATAGTTTCACTGCATTCTTTGGTAAAAAATGTAAACTAAGCTGTAAAAGCATGTTATAGAACCAAAATACGCTTATGTAAAATTCCTGTGACTTTTTCTTCAAAAATATTTGAGGTTGATGAGAGTTTCTTTGATCTGGATACCTTTGGTGGAATGGTTCATTGCTGTACTAGTAAAGTGTGCCCTTTCTCTTTTTTTCAGTGGGTGGATTTCATCTCTAACTGGACTTAATAAGAGTATTCCTGTTGGCATTATGATGATAATCATAGCTGCACTTTTCACAGCATCTGCTGTTATCTCATTAGTTATGTTTAAAAAGGTGAGTTACATATTATTCCAGTGTTTGATCTGGATTTTGCTTTCTGTCTTGAGGGAGGCACTCTTTCACAAAGTGGTGGGGATTAAATTACATTCTTACCTATTAACAAGTATATAATTTTGCTTATACTGTTGTGGAGCTACGAAATGCTGTTTATACAATGGATGTATTTTCTGCAAACTGAAATGGGGAAGGATAGCTCTGAATAAAAGAAATTGGGAGGTAACCCCACTGTGAAGGGGTGAGTAAATGCACTGGACACTGTTATTGTAGCTGTAGTTGCCAGGCTGTAATTTTGAAATCTGTGGTCATTTATCAGGCACATGGAAGTGTGATTCAAGTGATTGCTAACTTTCAGCTCTTATCAAAATCATTCCTATTAAAATCAATGAAAGAGGGGTCCCAGGACCTCAGAAAAGGATTTTTATTTCTCCGCTTCATTATTTTAACATTTTATTGCCATTTAATGATTCTAGAGCATGAAAGTTCAAAGGAAGTAGCTTGTTTCTCATGGTTACTTTTGGTGAATTTCCATCCAAAAGATGTAAGTTTAGATACTGATGTGCTAGTAAATTTTTTATGTCATTGAGATGAAGTGTAACCAAGAATTCTGCTGATGATGTGCTAGCAATTCTAATAATTCAGCTGCTGAGTTAGGCTTAAAGATCTTTGCATATACAAACTCTTCTAGGCTGTTTACAGTAAACTAGAACTTTTAGGGATTGCCTGGAGATGTCTTTTCTTGTTTGCTATATAAATACTCAGTGGAGAAAGAAACAAGCAAGAAAAATGTATGGTGGAACATTTTTTTACACTTTTCTTACTGTATGCATCTGGATTCTTTTCAAAAACCTGCATAGTCCTATGTGACCTGGTGTATCTTTATGGATGAGAAGTAGTCACATTTATAACAAAGAAAAAAAATTCAGCATTAGTTTTCCTGCTACACTGGAATGAAAATGTCTTTGCAACTTTATTGTGACTTGACTGAGCAAGAGTTGGAATTAGCATTTGAATTTTAATACTCAGGTAGTTAGAAGTTGCTCCGGATTTCTTGTTTGTCTGGTTTTGTTGGTTTTTTTTTTCATTATGGGCCATATTTTTAGAGTGTTTGTAAGTCAGATCTGTAAGTCATACTGTTTATACCTCTTGTTATTATGCTGAGCTATTGGTCATCACACTAGTTTAGCAGTACCTGTATAGTTAGGATATTTCATACTGTTTTATATTCAGTCAGAGCATAACTTAACTTGTTCTTGCAACCAGTCAAGTAATTAAAATGCTTCTAAATATTGGTGTAGAAAAAAGTTCACCAAATGTACATCACACATTTTAGTAAACACCTATGAGGCCTCTCTGAACTTGCAGATAATTACAAGTATTCCCTACGGTCAAACTGTGTGTGGAACAGGGCAAAGCTCTCGGAATGTGTGGCACTGTTTTTCACTGCTGTTCCCCCTCCCCAGGTGCATGGCCTCTACCGCACGACTGGTGCCAGCTTTGAGAAAGCCCAGCAGGAGTTTGCAACAGGAGTGATGTCCAACAAAACTGTACAAACTGCTGCAGCCAACGCTGCATCAACAGCAGCCACCAGCGCAGCCCAAAACGCGTTCAAGGGGAACCGAATGTAGGGAAACAAAGTCATCACTGTTCGCTTTGATTGTACTTTGTTTTCCAGTCACTTACTGTATTCCCTAAAAGTCTAGATCAAAATTCACACAGCATGTTTGTCTCTTCTGCAGCTGTGCATGGGTAACATCGGAAATGATTGGTTAATTTTATTTATAAATTTATTTATTTTAAGAGGAAAACCATTTTTTGCCCTTCTTTAGGATGTTGCATTCTGGAATAAAAAAGCCTTCCATATTTTATGGAGGATAAATAATTTCAACAATTGGCCTGAGAATGAACTGTGGCATTTAATGATCAAATAATTGTATTAAGAATCTGGAAGGTTTTTTAGCAGTTCACTCCAGTATTTTTTTAACTTCAGGAAAGCACTTTGGATCAATTATTTTTCTGTGTGATAGCTGATTTCCCAATTTCTACTGTAAGAAGTGGGGTAGACTGAGAGTTGTAGAAAGTTAGGTTTGGCTAGTGCTTTTGCAACTTCAGCAGTTGCTGGAGGTGAAATACAAGTAAGGTAGAGACTGTAACATTTTTTTTTTTAGGATAAGTCTTTTGATATAAACCTGTAAGTTTGCATGAATACTGTTGAGTTATCTGAATTTGTTTAAGTAGTGGTTTGGTCCAGAATTTACCTGCACCACTTTATAGCATTTGTTTGTATCTATTTCCATGGAGTATTCTCTACCTGTGAGAAATTACTATCGTGCATTAGCATTCTCTGTAATAGAATGTGTAATGCAGTGTACAGTTTAAGGATGTTAACCAGTGATTTCAATAGCAGAGCTAAATGATTACGTATTTACTGTATTTAATTTCAGTGTTCATGTATTGGGGTAATAATTTTGCTGGAAAAGAAACCAATATAGACTTTAAGAACACTAGTTCCTTGTCCACCTTCCCTCTTCTATGTGCAGTGGGTTTTTTGTTTTATTTGGAATTTTTGGGGGTGTTTTTTTTGTTGGTTTTGGTTTTGGGTGTTTTTTTTTTGTTGGTGGTGGGTGTGGTGGTTTTTGGTGGTGGTTTTGTTTTGTTTTGTTTTGTTCTGGTGTTGGTGTTTTTTTTTTGTTTTTTTTTTTCTTTTTTTGGTGTGTGTTTGTTTGTTTTTGGGTTTTTTTCCAAGTATAGATTTATGTTTAACAGTGGTACTAAATCTCTAGCCTGGTCAGTCACTCTGTTTACTGCTTGTCTAAACCCCTAAATACACAGTATTTAATTTTCTAACAGGAATATTATCTAAAACCAAGCCCTTTAAGCAATGGCATTTAACAGACACTTGAATTAATTTTAATGTTAACTCAGCCATCTCTGTGGTGTGATTTAAGCTGTAGTAAAAATCCTTTGAAACTATTTTGAACTGGCAAAGTGAGAAATGTTCATCTCTAATGAAGTTAAATTTTAATTCACTGAACTGGGCCTGAGAGGTTAAATTGGTGCTGTGAAACTGAACAATCCGTAATAATTTTACAGATTTCACAGAATATTCTGAGTTGGAAGGGACCCAAAAGGGTCAAGTCCAACTCTTAAGTGATTGGTCCATATGGGATTGAATGGCCCATAATGGGGATCAAACCCACAGCCTTGGCGTTATTAGCACCATGCTCTGACCAACTGAGCTGATCTCAGGGTGGTACATACCGTCATAATACTCTAGAATATCATGTAATCAGACCTTAGTATAGTGACATGTTTCTCTCCTTTGAAGATAGTTTATATTCTTGGATTGCTTCGTGAGTCTTACATACAGTACTTGGGCAGTTTTTCTAACCCTTTTAGAAATGAAAACAGGAAAGACAACATCCCACAATCTGAGTAAATACATACCATGGCATTAATTAATTAAGCTCTTAAGGTGAATCACCTTTAGTAAGACAGTGTAAAATTCTAAGCCTCCTCCATGCTCTGAATGTGGACCGAATTTCATGGTTTCTTTTTCACTACACTGTATTCATAACAACAGAAGATCATTGAAAAAAAATACACCCCTACCTTAATCCCTGGATCAGTAGTATACTGTTAGCATGAAGTCCCCCGTTAGTCTTCTTTCTTTTACTAATTTCTTTAAAATCTAACTTGAATTTGGATAAATGTCATAGCTTCACCTATGCTGAAGTTTATATTAATGAATCCACTTGCTTTAAATACTGTATGTAACAAGGCCACTAAAATTTCATACTAGTGGACATGCTAGCCACGAACTTAAATTTGTGTGGAGCGTTTTTAAAGCTTAACAAATAAAAGTCACTGTTCTCTGCTGAGATTGGGCACCATCGTTCTAGCAGCTGTATATCAAGATTGTATATCAAGTTCTTTTCATAATATTTTAAACTTAACTTGAGAGTTGTATGTAGAAACTCTGCTATGGATTACTGTTAAATCCAAATTTAGGCAATTCTTATGGTATCTCTTGGATAGGAATCCCAGGGACATCATCCTTACAATTTAACTGAAGTTGAAGATGGTGTAGTAGCATACATTACCAGACTATATTATGGGGGGGGGGGAAATACATGTTAGGCACAATACCTGAATTTGACAGGTAGATTTTTTTCTTAAATGTTTAAAGGTTCCTTGAGAAAACTTACGTAATGTTCTGTGTATAAGAATTGTTGATTTGTAATGTCATGAGTTCGATGTACGGATTTAAGCCTTCTGAGTAAAATTCAAGGTTCTGTTACACGTGAATTGTTTAGACCAGAAATCTCTGACACTTTGCAGCCCCAAAAGGAGGGAGAAGTTCGTTTAGCATTGACAGCAGAAGGCTGAGATTGGCACCTAACCGACACTAGATTTTACAATCTCTTATTAATTAATCAGAGTATGGTGCCCACTTGAATTGTCATTTTGTAGTATTGTGACAAATTGAGTAAAAAGTATGAAGTTTAAACACTGGAATGTCAGTAGTCATTGATTTGTAATTTAGCAGTTGTTTTTATTTATCTGAGGATGTTTGTATATTTTGTAAATTACTAACAATGCTCTGCCATCCTGGTGAATGTACATGGTTCTGCACTTCTTCTGTCCCTTTGTTGCATGTCTGAGTAGTTCAGAAGTTTTGTATATTTATTGTATTAACACAGTGTCATAGAATAAATCAAGACTTTTTTTCCTGGATGTTTGCTCTGTATAGCTTCAACCAATATGGGGATATTTCTTCTAACTGTCAGGATTATGTGCAGGGAGGATGTGTGTAAATCTGACTTGCTTTTTATAATTCTGTATATAGATGCTGTAATTCTGCTGTGAAATGAGGAAGCAAAAAGTTCACTGTCAATAAATCTGGTTATTGAGAATTAGTCTACTCAACTGTTACAAAAAAAAATTGTTAAAATACTTGCAGTTCACTTTCTTGTGCTGTAAACTCATGAGGGGTAAAATCTAAACATGCTCTGTCATGTGTGAATGAAATCCTAGAGGTATTAAGTGAATCTTAATATTGAAAGTAAAATGAAGTTACTGAAAACAGCATTGCTTTGGTAGTGTTTATTTTTCTAATTTGTGTCAATGAATCAACATTTCTGTGTCACTGCTGTGTCTGTCTTTTTTTTTTAGGCACTATCACAATCAGTTGATTTTTTTTTTTTTCATGTAATGTCAATTGTAGCACCTGCTCTCAAGTATACTGGGTTTTCTTTGAAGGCAAAACAACATCATCCAGACCACTGTGATGTAGTTAAGTTTAGAAATGCACAATACAACAAACAGTATTGTGAGGGAAACTCAGGATAATTTTGGCAGACGTGAGTTTTTGAAGACATTTCCACATGCATACAAATCAGTATTGAAATTCTCTGTCAACTTGATCTATTTCTTTGTAATTTAGAGATCCAGGGTGGCAGTGACTAAACGAACAGTTTTCGTAAATGTCAGTACGGTTGTGCTGTATGATCCAGTCATGTTAGAGTTATTACACAATAATTTAGCCTTGCTGGGGGGAAATAATTCCTCTGGTTTGTTCAGGCTAGTTTTCCTCAAGAAGTTGTGAGCATGGAGTTGGAAGGCACACACACACCAAGAGAAAAGCATGAGGTAAGAGAACTGCGATTAAAAATATTCAGTGATACTTACGCCAAGAAAAGGGGCACACCTAGAGCATTCTGGTTATGAATCAACAGTAAAGCACAGTAGGTCAGATAATTAAAACAATTAGGTTTGACTCACATTAAAATGTTTGAGAATTAATTCGTCCTTTTTTCTACAAATTATTTTAAGTCTGCAAGTAGTTTTTAATCTCATCAGTAGAAAAGTCAAGAATATTTACAAAGGAAGTAGGTGCAGATTTCTTAGCTCAGCAGCAGAATGCCAGTTCAACTTTATGGAAGGATTAATACATATATATATATTTTAAATATATATTGTATCTATAATGTCTGTCCTGCTTCAGTGAGTGTTCTGCATGTTGCTGTTACATCACTCAGAGGTGAAGGAAGACAAATTCAGAGGAGTTTCTTTTTAGAGTGCTGAGAATTCAAGGTTTTACTTCTTTGTACCATGATTCAGGAAGAGAATCTTCCAGCTGGAAAGATGGGAAATGTTGGGGACTGTTTTTTGATAAAGTTTGAGGCTGTATTTGTAACTGTAAGTGTGCTTGGAACAGGGCTAGTGCAGGCCTGGAAAAAAGCCTCATTTGAAGTCTAGTTAGTTGTTGCTATGCTCTCAGCATTTCTGCTCTCAACTGTGTCCAGCTGGAGCTGTGTAGGATACACTGGCTGGAGGCCAGGCCATTGTACAGAACAGCTGCCTCTGACCACTGGTGCCTATGTGGCATCAGCTGCTCTGCCACCGTTCCAGCTGACAGTGCTGCAAGGAGATTCTATCGTGTTTATAGGCTAATTAAATAGTTGTGTATGCCTGAGCTGTGATCATTGTGAGCGTGCCGAAGCACGGCTGCTGTTTTGCAGTGCAGGGCTGTTGTCTTTGCTGTGCATGTATTTTTCAAGTTTTCAAAGAAAAAGTGGATATCCTGGATTGGGCATTGCAGTGATAACTTTTTGTCCAATGTAAGAGAACAACTGGAAGTGGTCAGAGTACAGAATCAGTTAGGTTAGAAAAGACCTCTAAGATCATCAAGTCAAACCTTTGACCTGTGTCATTAAATTGGGAGTTCTTTTTTCTTTACGTTGGCCAGACTAAATTACTGATCCCACTGTATCTGAGTGATACCTAAAGCTGGTTAGGGACTATGCTCTCAGAATCCCACCAATATGAAGATACTCCAAATGAAAGGCATGTATTTGAAAACAAGCTTTCAGTGAGTCACAGAACAAGACAACTTCTTTGTATTCCTCTTCCTCTGATATGGATAATACACATCCACTTTGTCATTGCATCACCTTTCTCAACCCAGCTGGAGCCTGGGGAAGAACGCAAAAATCTGTAACAATACACACAAGTAGAGTCTTAAACTCTCTGCTCCCTATTGCCAACTTGATTAACTTCACTGAAATGTGAAGGTAATATTTTTAGCTGTTCAAATCAGTACTTCATAATTTAGGCAGTATTTTTTATTTACAGAATAACTGGTGTATCTGTATCTGCTTTGAAATTCATAAAGGTGACTAAGGTAGTGGTGCATTGAGTGGCACCTATTCCCTAACTTCTGGAGTGTAGGTTTCTAAATGTCCCAAGTTTTAACCTAGAGCTACTTCTTGGAAGTTTGGAAACTAAGTGTAATTAAACTACATGCAATTAATTATATATAAATTTAATACAAATGGACCATAGCAACTATGAGAAATAAGTAACCATCCTGACTTTTCTTTAAACTACTGAAAGCCTTACTCCTGGTTCTGCCGTAGATTGGCTTTGTAACCTTTCTCTAGTGTTTGCGAAGTCAAAGGTAAGACACACTGTGGCAAACACTGTGTGATCAAGCAATATTTGTTTTACAACCTTTGTTACCCCTTTCCACGAGAAAGGAACTGCAGTGCTTTTGATACAAAATCAAACACACTGCTCAGACCTGTA